TAGTAACCCTGTACAGGTTGATCCTACCGTTTGGTAACCCTGTACAGGTTGATCCTACAGTTTAGTAACCCTGTACAGGTTGATCCTACAGTTTAGTAACCCTGTACAGGTTGATCCTACCGTTTGGTAACCCTGTACAGGTTGATCCTACAGTTTAGTAACCCTGTACAGGTTGATCCTACAGTTTAGTAACCCTGTACAAGTTGATCTTACAGTTTAGTAACCCTGTACAAGTTGATCTTACAGTTTAGTAACCCTGTACAGGTTGATCCTACAGTTTAGTAACCCTGTACAAGTTGATCTTACAGTTTAGTAACCCTGTACAGGTTGATCCTACAGTTCAGTAACTCTGTACATGTTGATTTTACAATTTAATAACCCTGTATAGGTTGATTTTACTGTTTAGTAACCCTGCACAGGTTGATTTTACACTCTAGTAACCCTGTATAGATTTGATCAACAAACAGTAAATAAAGAATATAAATATCTGGGCACTTTACTTTCTGCCTATAAATACTACGGAGCATGTTACTTTGGTATACCTGGTCAGGAGAGTTTAACACATAACATTGGTCCATCTGGTCAGAAAGTTGTCCATCTGGCCAGAAAGGTTACAGGTTATAGGATATCAGAACAGGAAGGTATAAAGGATATGACATGGGAAAGATACAACATTTACAAAATTTTACCTACATTTTTTCTTCATGATAGCTTAAACAATGGTATTACTGTCCAGACTGGTATTTTTGGGAGGTTCTCCTCCTTGCTTTTTCCCCCCGAGGTGGAAAAAAAAACAACTAAAAATATATACCTATAAAATAGGATTGTGATCACCAAAACCTTTTATATAATTCATATATATTGTTGTGTAAGGGCAAGTGGAGAGAATTGATAGTGTGGGAGAAAAAGTGGTTAGATATAATGATGATAAGGTTTGTCTTTCTTGTATAGAAATTCACACTTGAAAAAATGATAAAAATGAATGTGTGTTAAGTAAGTATCTAGCAAAAGTATACTATTTCTTTTTTTCAAATTCAAAGCTGTTTAATTATGTAGTGAAATGTACTTAGAATAGTACATAAATACTATGTGTGTAGGTTGATATTTAAGAATGTATGTGGATGTATATTAAGATTTGTAAGTATGTGCTATTACAAGATAAAATAGATGGTGAAACATGGCAGAGTAAACAAAAGGACAAGATGATGTATGTATGTTAGTGTAGCTGTTGACAGTGTATGTTGAGTAACAGCCCTTCTGCCCGAGGGCAAAAATTGTAGAATGGGAATGGAAATCTGAATTAATTTTTTGTTTTGCCTTTAAAAAATTTTTTTTTTAGTTTTCTACAAGCTTTAAGTAAACCCACACAACCTTAACCAATGAAAAAAACCCACCTGTTTCCAGTATGCTGTAACACATAATGTGGTGACTTGGTGATCTTTGATTTATTGTGTGTTCACCAGTTAAGAAATGAATTAACAATTACTTTGCTTAAATTATGACCCAGTGACTTGAGTTTTGGTAATTGACCCAGTGACCTTGAATTTTGGTCATTGACCCAGTGACCTTCAGTTTTAGTCAGACAACTTCTTGCTTGATTTTAATTAGCTTAAATAGTACTTTAATGTCATTGGAATAAGAATGTTTCATTTTTCATATTTTTGTCTAAAAAAACGTACTGAAATTGCTTTCTGGATAGTAACAAAGAAAGGACATATCCGGTACAAACACACATTACACCTGGTACAGACCAGTATCAACAATGCAGAGTGTTAGGCAGTGCAGAATGTTGGCAAATCCATCACCTTTACAATAAACCAACATATTTCTTTGATATTTTTCCAGATGAAAGTTAAACACTGTATGGAATGTTACGATACCAATTACAGTGATGATGGTGGGCACAGCTGCCTAAGAAGAAGGCTGGACGTTGGTCTCTGGTAAGGAATGTTAAGATATCAATCACACTGATGATGGTGGCCCCAGCTGCCTCAGAGAGAGGCTGGACGCTGATCGTTGAGGACAGTAACTGTTTCAGAAGTTTATCTATGCGTCAACAGATGGAGCACCAATGCACACCTGTCACATGAAGGCTTGAATAAGGGATAAAGATATGCTTACAAGATAATGAAGAGGTCACCAGAACAACAGGTACATATCACTACAGGATATAATGTGTATTTATCATAGACTTCTAAATAACATAAAATGTTTCAATACCACATATTTATATACACAACTTTTTCATTATCTGCCTAAATGGTTGTTCATTTCTGTGCTTTGTCTTTATCCACAAAACAGAGTCAGTTTCTGTTTGTATATTTATTATATGGAGGCTTGTAGCAAACTGACATGGACAGGTATTTTTCTAAAATCTAATGCTCAAAATTATTCTTTAATTCCATGAAGACACCAGTCTGCAGATATCCTAGAAGTAATATTATCATCTGGCCCTGCAAAAACACAACATCTGACGCTACAAAGACACCTGTCTGCAGAGAGTCTAGAATTCAAAATAAGATTTGACTTAAAAAATGAATATTTGATACCCTAGATAGACATGAAACGTCCTTCAGGACATTAACATACAACATAACGGCCAGTAACTATTCGTTTCTAGCTATTTAACTTGCCTTTGCAGCCATTTCTAGACATACAAGCAGCGTGGGATGAGTTCTCCCGTGTTAGTTGTAAGCCCGATGATGACATGTTATTTTTTCCCAGTGGGCTTTCCTTCAACATCTGTTCCCCGATGTACGTCACATCAAAAGCTCTACAGATCTTGTGTAATTTTTTCAACTTGTAAACAACATTCAGTAAATGTTTATCTTTCAATTTTTTTCAAATTTTCTTAACATTGATTTTACTGACACTGTCTTTTCCAACCAAATAGATATCAGTTGATGGAGTAACTGTGTAAAAACAAAAAATAACAACCATCTCATCATCACAATTAAACCTTTGGTTAACTGGAAGAAACTTAAGTCATATGCTATAAAGACTTGTTAGAAATATCCACCAGTTTGAGTAGGTAATCTTTGAATAGGTTAAAGTAAGTAACCACTGAACTGGTTAAATAGTTCAACTGTCCAATACTTATGTTTATAAATCTGATAGACACAAAAGTACATTAGCAATCTGATTCCTATAGGTTATTACTTCTACAATAAAACTAACCACTGGTCATCTTTTTATGAAGAACTATCCTGTACATTGTAGTCCCTTTATTTTCAAATCACTTTTTCTTTGATGCTTTTCATCCCGTATCAGCCAAAATTAAGAACAACTCTGTTAAATGCCTCTATGTTAAGTAAGATTTTCTTTGAATCAGATCACAGTACAAAAAAAAAATTTCTTTTCTTACATATAAAGCTAGGTTATTAAATAAATGTAACCTGGTCAAAATGCAGTCATCGGCAGTTTGAACATTTATCCTGGATTAATATCATTAATTAAATGCTAATTAAAAGCTAGAGTATTTACAATTTACTTGATGCAATTAAGCATAAAATTGTTACAAAAGAGTTCAAAACTAGTAAGTTTGTACCATTATTCTTCCAACCTTCCAACCTATATGTTCTGTAGCTTTGTTACCTTACCATGGACATAAAACCATCTCACTCATAATACAAGTAATCAGACTCTAAATCACTCTGCATAATTTGACAACAAAAAGATCATTATAATGAGTAAAAACATGCTGGTTGTATAACTGTCACTGATACAGCTGTTACACGTTATTTAACTAGAACATTTTCTTGTTTCACCATTCCTTGGCATTTATTTTCATGGATTCAAAATCGTCTGTTAAGGTATTCATGTCTTTTAGCACCTACACAAGTCACCTGAAGATATTTTGTCATCAGAACATGTAAATCCTAGGAACTTGTTGTCTTTTCTTCCAATTAAACTTTAACAAGGAGACACAAAGTGTGGCATTATGCCCCGCACCCAGCTGTTGGTGTAAAACCCAAATATTATATATATATGCTGGTATAACAATTGTGACATCACTCTATTATGAACCACTACTATCCCCTGAAGATCTAATACAGTGAAAGCACTTTGATTAAATTTCCATGCATCTCCTCAACTTCAACATTTTTATATATATGTATCAACCTTATAGTAAGTGTATATATGCTGATGTAGATCATGTGTGTTTGACTGTTGATATTTGAATAGAGCTGGTATTGTCCATGAACGAATTTATGCAACACTTTATGAGCTCTTATGTAATACAACAAGTCACAAGAAATAAAAAAAATTTGATGGTAACAGAAATAAGATAAATAATAAAATGTCCTGCATAAAGGCACAACCAGGGCACTAACATAATGTATTCATAAAGTTTTGGGGAGTTAAATGGAAAGGTTTTGAAGTCGTAGTCCAGAAAGAAATGTTAACATTAATTTTGTGTTTTTTTATTATGTTTCCATGGTAACAGAAAAAACATAAAAAATGTAATGTTATAAACAGCAAAAGGCACAACTAGGGCACTAACTTAATATATACAGCAAGTTTTGTAAAGCTGAGTCGAATGGTTTTGAAGTTATAGCACGTAAAAGCCCTAGGACGCATGTACGGATGCACAGACAAAGCCCAAGTTAATGTCCCTTGCCAGTGCATTTCGCCAGGGATAAGCACCCATGTTGTGCTTCAATACATTAACTTGATGATCATTAACTTCTATGCAGTAACTTTCATTTCTTTCATGACCTTTCAGTTGATCTGTCATGTTTTGTAATGTTTAAGAACATAATTTTCCAGGTAGATTTTTCATTCTAAATCAACAATACGATTTACTTACATAATGTAAATGCTTTTCACTACAGTGTTGGGGATTGATAAGTGACCACTGATGACAATTAACAACTTAAAACAAGTGCTTTTTTTTATCAATTCAAATGATGACTCGTCCTGCTGAAAATTCGTTATTATCATCATTATATTTGATTTTCCATTACTCGTAAAATAATCCTTTATCAAGGGTTGCCTACCTGATAACATCATTGCCGCGGATGGTGAAGGGATCCCCAGAGCTGCTCATCCTCTCAGCTGATGCCTCGCTACACTTAGCTGTTGGACCATACTTAGCCAGGCAGTTGAGAATGGAGGACAACAGTTGCATGAGGCTGACTGCGACTAAATCAAACGGAAGTTTGCATGGGCCAGATGATCCAGAGGAGAGATTTGTACCAGAAAATCCTGAAGCTGGACGCTTCTGTTCTTCAGGTAGCAAGATCTGAAGAAAGTAACAGATGATACTAGTATGATAGTTCAATAAATACTGCTATGTATATACATTTTCCTTTGGAAGAAGTATGAAACATTTTGGAAAGTTGGACAATTTATTCTTTCTGTTTACAATACTAGAAAAACAAATGCAACAACATACCACATCCCACAAAAAACATAGGCCAAAGTAGTCTACATGTCAACATAGAATTCTGATGATGTGCAGAGGATAATCTTCTTGTCTTGTAATGAAAAAGACATGATCTTCCTAATAGATAGATGATTTGATGAAAACAAAATGAAATTTAATTAGATTTCTATTACGTTATGGAACAGTTTGGCTGCACATTTCTTACATATTTACAAATAAATTGTACATTGTGTTTAAGTGTAGTCAATAGGCAAACTAACAAGCATCAAACATCCAACTTAATGTTGTACCCTTGGTTAACAAGAAGGGTGAATGTAAGACGGATATAAAAGAAAATTTTTTTTGTTGGGAAAATCAGAAATCTTTAACATGTACTCACCGTAAGTCTATGTACGAGAAGGTCTATAATCGTGCCAAGCTTGTTACTAAATAACATATAGTGACAGTTGTCATAGCAACCTTTACAGGCCTGTCGGAACACGGAACACGTTAGGACTAGAGACCTGTGGACACAACAACATGTATATATGATGTAGGTTATCTTTTTCCACCATCATTTAGACAGATAACAAAAATGACTGCAAGTTTTCTATTTGGTGGTTTCACTAAAATCAATGAGTTTGTGTTAAGGAAGAATAAATTCTCATTTATTGTCCTGTCCGTAAGTTCCTAGGAATTGAATCAACTCGTGTTACACAAAGTGTAATTCCCCTAATTTTGTTGAAATCCACTCATGATGGTTAAAAGTCTACCCTAGAGGTCAAATATCTAATAAGCCCTTGGAGAAATACAGAGTTTGTGTTTAACTTACTTTGCAGGTAACACAGAAGGGAGGTGAAAGTCAGTAACGTCTACTGTCTGCAGAATTCGACCAAGAGTTGTTAATCCACCCAGGATCCTCAAACTTGTCTGATCTGCCGCTACCTACACAACCAAGTAAACAGTGGTACATGTGTTATTTCATGTCTTGAAAGAAAACATCTTCAGTGAGAATAATCCATCAAATCAAAACACTGTTAACTCAATATATTTTCATGAGGCTGAAATATAAAAAAAAAAAAAAAAAACAAATAAAAAAATCAAAAACACCCTGCTATCTTGATAGTATATCCTTAAATTCAATGTAATCCTTGATGAATATTGTAGCTTTCCAAAATCAAAGACATATTCCAGCAACAAAACAGCATTACTTGAAGATCATGTAATGTGTAAGGAAATGAAATCAAAACGGTCATGGAATAAACCTCCTGATTTAGTGACTAATACAGTCTATGAAGATGACATCCCACCATAATTTACTAATAACTACATGTAAGTAGTTTAACTTGACTTCATCACATCATATTTTGTGGACAATTTCTTACATGGGAGAGTTTTCTTATATAGTAGTGACCTTTCCATTGGAAACTGAAATTTGCATAACAACACTAATAATAGAAAAATTATATCAAAATACCAGGAAGCTTACCTTTTTATCCATGATTCGACTGATCTCCCCCAAAGCACGGTCAAGGGCCGATACCTTGTTCTGGGGCCATGGACCAGTATCAGGTGCCTGAAGATATTTACTGATGTCTCTTACTACTTTCTGTAGTCTGAAAAACACAAAATACAACTCCGTTACATACAACCCAAGGATCATCCATTAATGAGTAGCCCCAGGCTTTAAACATTTCTAGACAGAACTACCAAAGATAAACACAAAAATTTTCCTGTATCATCCACTGTAAACATTTAACACATTCATCATACTTACTTAGCTTTATGGGCCGAGTCAGCATTGGTGAGTTTCCCCGTCAGACTGTTCTCATACTCCAGTCCCCTGTGAAAAATCAATGTATTACAGTAAGTATGACAGTTCCTATTATCACAAGAAAAAAGCTTATTGAAATAAAATTTCACATACGCTAACTTGATACACTAAATAATGTTGTTTTCTGAATAAATCCGAAATTTAACAGAATCTCCATAAAAAACTTTTAAAAATATGTACCTTGTTACCATTCTTTGTCGTAACTTTTTACAACGTTTCTTGAGTGACTTAAGCCGTTCCTTCTCTGACACAATTTTGGGATGTGTGCTGTTGGTTGGAGCATCCACTATATGCTTTAGATTAAAAGTCTCCTGAAACCGAAAAAGTGGGTGTCTTGTGTGTCTAAATTGGTATAAGGAGATCATACAGACCGATCTTTATCATCTACATACACTGCATATTTCTCTCACATGAATAAATTTACTATTTTGTCAGTATTTATCAGTATCGTGAAAACTCACCTAAGTAGTTGTTATAGTGATACAATAAGCTCTATACACAACAACACATATCAAGTGTTTGCTGGGAATGATAACACAAAAAGGTAAAGAGCAGACTCTATTCTTATGTTTACTCATTACTATTTGGTGAATGATATTTTAATTCAACATTACAATAAATATAATCTGACAAGACACACTTACAATTTCCTGTTTTGTCATGACCTTGCCTGAATTATTGTCCTGTAATGCTTGTTGATGTTTCTTTCCTCGTAAATGACTCAGAAGATGAACCTCAGACGGGATCTATAAAGTACACAAGTCAACAACTATACAAATACTGTGTCAGAGGAGGTAACTCTTGTTTGGCCTCTCTCTCACTCTCTTTCTCTAGATTCCCTACCCATCCCGTCCATCACCACAACATTCTCTCTTATCTCTTATAATTCTATAATTGTAATTTCATACATTATTGATCAGTAAATAGTCAGGACATCATCTTCACATTTAATGACAGCACAGTAGGAAATCCCTACAGCATTCTTCGGTATAATATTATCAGAAGACTGACAATGAACTTTCTGTAAAATCACTCGTTCCCTCCTTGCTCTCTATGTGAGAACACAGACCCAGCTGTACACTGGATGTTTACCGAGTTACTGTATCTTAAAAAAAAAAAAATAATAATCATGAGAATCAAACAATAAATCCACAAGAACATATTTTCACACTTAAGTTGTGGGATATAACATTGTCAACATCTTAGTTTCTTAGTTATTTGTACGTGATGAGATCCACTGTACCTTGCTCTCATTTTACACTGTACAATGTCAATCTTTCCACTTACCAGAACATTACAAATGGTGCACAATTTCTTGGTGTCGTAGGGAGCAATGTTAGGCGGCTCGTTATGGTCCTCGGAGGACAGACGCAGGACGGTCATCTCAAATGCTTTTTCACGGATCTGTTGGAGAGCTTCTTGGTGACGCTGAGTGGACTCATCTTGCTAAAATGTGACCAGGGTAAACATGCAGTATTAAAATTTTCCTCCATTTTGTCATTAAGAATAATATCTAAGGTTTGACACTGACAAATCAATTTCTAATATTTTACTTCTACAATTGTAAGCAGATTACTTATTATAGAAAAGTGATATGAACAATGTTCCACTGTTTATTAAGAAGTTGTCTACATTTCACTGGTAAAACCACTAGGTACTATAAAACATTGATTTTATAAACTATATTCAGAGAATTATGTGTACTCATTCATTAAGGGTGATGTTTTAACATGATTACTATCTCAGGAAAAAATTCATTGAAAATTTTGAATTCACAAATGAATCAAACTATGAAGTTAATGCCTGATCCCTCATGACAGCTGTTTTCAAGCAAAAAAATGATACAAGGTGATTATTACCTGATATGAAGACAACTATAACATTTTTGCCACCGAAATACAGGAATTTTTCAAATTGATAAAAATTGATATCATCACTGCATCTTATATCATCAGTAGTGATGATATAACTTTTCTAATGATGATATAAATTTTGTAATTTTGACCAACCAGAGCAGTGACTTCTAGTCACTATGCTCATATTTGTTTTCCTGTTTAGATGCAAATAAAGTGTAGATTGAATAAGAAGCCTAATCAAAGTGGCATTGTTTTGTTGTCAAATGTGACGTTAACCTGTCTGATGTCATAGAATATGATAATATTTCCCGATTTTTTTAACACTGCTATATTTTGTTTTGATTGGCCTTTTTCATTTGGTTTCCTTTCAATAGATAATAAAAAGAAAACTGAATTATTCATTGTTTAATATCATCTACATTTTCTTCATATGAAAGAATATTCTATAGTTTTTCACTTGTGATTTATACTTTTGAAAAATATAGATGTTCTGAACATAGTTACCTTTTGTTGTATCTTTTTCTGTAGCTCCTGAATATGTGCTTGCTGTTGGGCATTGAGAGCGGCCAGTCGCTCCTCTCTTTCCCTGAACATAAATGATTTTACATTGTTGATAATATTCCCTATATTAAGTTTTGTTTGTTTAAATGTTGGCTCCAAGTATTCCCCTACTCCTTCAGTTAATCCTATAGCTTGATGGAAAGGGTTTATTACATATCTCTTCATTCCATCCAATTATCATTACCAAGTATGGATAGATAGTAAATGTATAAATTTTACTTGGGAAGAAAAAGAAGTATTCTGTCCAACCTCCTTCATGGACAAATATATCCTGACATAGAGCTTTCTTATCTTATCATAAGTCTTGATATATATTAATCATATTTTACCAGAGTCTTGGAATTCAATTTTTCCCAGTGCGTGACAAAGAAAGTGTCAGGATATTTCTATCTACTATACTTACTGTTCAGATCTTACAAAAACAATCCAGCATATTAAATTCAGTCAATATTAGTCTACTTACTATGCTATCTATGTGGTGTTTAAGGCAATAAAACAATTTATACTTTTTGACAATGTCTGTTCAATAATCCAGCCATTTTTTTCAATAAACATTGGTAAATGCAGTATCTGAGTTCGTATATATTGGCATCTTGTAAAGTTTCTGACACTTCATTTATACCAACCGTTCTTTTATCCTGAGGGCCTCCAATCGTTCCTTCTCCTTCTCCTGCTGTTGCTGTTCCACACGTGCATCACGTTGTTTGCGACGTTCCTCCATATCTTTCAGTTTAGCCTGTCGCTCAGCGTACAGTGCTCGCCTTCTCTCCTCTACAGCCGATTCCTTAGCCAGCTTTTCAACATGCTTTCTCTGACGTTCCTCCTGCAACAAAGCAAGAGACAGCATATTTGTGATTATGTCACAAATAAAGCAATCTAAAAATGTCAGTGTCAGTGACAACAACTTTAAACTGAACTTTGAATACTGTCTGGTTTTTTATTGCCAACTTGTGTAATGTGGAAAACTGTCCATATTGACAGAAATGATGAGTCCTTGTAATTTTCTAGTTTTGAATTAGCAATCCTGTTGGTTTCTGAATCCTTATGCTTATTGTTCTTTCTGTGAAGTGTTGTGCATTGTCTCACAACTGAAGGTGCATTTTCTTGATAAAGTAAAAGATGATTACAATAAATCTTGTAATCTACACATTACAAATTACTTGCCAAACTAACAAAAATTTGAATTCATCATGACAATATCATATTTTAATAGATGCCTATCAGATACCACTGAAATAGTTCCAAACTTCATTTAAAATTTAGTGAACAGGAGGGGGAGGGGAGGGATATAATATATATGCCACTCCCTCCCGTCATCAAATTAACATGGAGGTAGTCAATTCAAGAAGTATGATTTAAAGAAGCCAATAGAGACCATACCTCTATATTCTGAAGCCTTGCTTCAGACTCTTGATGTTTCGACATGATATCATGTCGCTTGTTTTGTGCATCCAGAGCATTGATGAAGGCTATCTCATTTGCCTGAAAAAAATAATAACTGGATTATTTTCATAAGAGTTCAATCATTAATTATCAATACAAAATGCTTCCATCTTACACAAACAGATGAAAACATTGAAACCTGAAAGCATTATACACCCCATACACACTATTATCTTTTGTGATTTATAACATAGTTTTATCAGATTGTATTCCGCTGTTGTAAAAATTTATGTTGTGACATAACTGATATCAAATGTCTGACATTTGATGTCTAAAACATGGCCTTTACCTAAGATTACATTTGAAATTTTATCTCTTAAACATGGCCTTGACCTTGGGCTACACTTGGTATATGATTTCTTAAACATGGCCTTGACCTTGGGCTACACTTGGTATATGATTTCTTAAACATGGCCTTGACCTTAAGTTACATTTGAAATTTTATCTCTTAAACATGGCCTTGACTTAAGGTTACGTTTGAAATTTTATTTCTAAAAGGATTGATTACCTTTGCCTCTTCTTCATGAGCTTTCTGTGCTTTCATTCTGAGCTGAAGGTGACGCTTCTCCTCGGCTCTCATCATTTTACTCTGAATCGTCCCCTTCCTCTGTCTCATCAACTCTTCCTTCCAAGCTCGTACCTCCTCAACCTAACAAAAATAATACATTCTGACATAAGACCTCCTATCTTATGGTAAAAAAGTGTAGCACTTCCTCTATCTGACTTCCTTTTCTACAGTGTGTAATGCATATTACACATACTTCCATTTCACAATGTTATTTTCGATATCAGTTTCTTAAAAATTTGTCAAACCCAGCTAGAAATATCTGTTGGACTAGTAGAAGAAAGGACATTTGTTCAGCACTCTTTTCATTATATGGGGTCAAAGGTGAAATCAAACTTTCCTTGGCTAAGTTTTATATCTGAATTTATATGGTGATTTTGCAAGTTATTTCTCATACTATTTAATTCCAAATTAGTTCTAAGAGAAGTAACTCTACTTTACAGGATACAAAAGATATGTAAGAGAGACAAATCTGGCGTGACTGTCATGCAGACAAACCTAGTTGTCAACAGTTTAATATTTCAGACATTGATTGTGACAGACCTGGATATATAAGTATGCTCATCAGAATTAAAAAAATCAATAAATATGTCCTTTTTCATGAACAACTAACCCTGGTCCAACTGGTCAAACCACAAAAATGATCTTGACACATACTGTTTCATTTAATTATCAGGGAATTATATTACTTTTGGTCTTACCTTTTTGGACAGTTCTCCAAGTCTCTCTGACTTTTCATGCATGAATTTTTCACGCAGTTCCCTGGCCTTGGCCTGCTTCTCTTCATGTCTCTTCCTGGACTCAGTAGGTGACCTGTAAACAATTTTACAAGATGTTTTACATCCTTGCTTCAAAAATACACATTCTAAAGAAAAATACAGGTAATTGTGTAAATGTATAGCCGGAAGAAAATTGTTTTATGCAACATAAATAGATTAAATAGAGCTAAAAACTGTATTTGGGCAACCTTACAATGTTTTTCCACAAAGTTCATAGTTGAACCCTAAAAATATTTTTCAATCATCTTTACAAGGATTGTTGGCTAGGTTCATAGTTAGACTCTGCAACAAGAAAGGACTATCCATGAATTATTAATATAGGAACATAAATCTGCCCTGGGTAGGGTTTAAGCCACACATCTTGGACCTTTATCTGTCAGAGATAGAAATGTTCAATGATATAAAATTAAGCTATTTATAGGGGCCCTTTCTTTACATTGTATTTCATATGATCTGGAAATATTAATGTACATATAGAGGCAGACAGTAATACCTGCGGCGAGAAGGCGAGGACAGCTTCTCATGCATGTGAACCCCATGACCGGGTGTCCTTGTCTCAGCTTCATCAACTATCTCTCCCCATGACCTCTTTGGCTTTCCCTCTGCATCTAAAATAGCAATAACAGGCTGTAATGACTGCAGCTGTTTAAACGAGCCTCTTCAGTGTCATATTTCATATTTAGCTAAATCTTGTTTGTAAATTTGTCCATAGCACTTCTACTTATTTTTAAAAAAAAATCATTGTGAATGAGTCACAGGAAAATTTAAGGACTCTGAAAGACTGATATACTTACCTGATCTATCTTAAAGTGATATAAGTTTTACCTTCATATTGGGCACAGAGAGTATCCCAGTCCAGAGTCTGTCCTGAAGCCTCCAATGAACTCATTGTGTTCTGCAAGTAGAGTACCAAATAAACTTTATCTTTTTAAAATTGATAATTTTAGACTTTTGATGTTTGTTGAAAACAAAAACTGGTGTCAAAGTTACACCACTTATGAATTGGTTGTGTGACAAATATGTAATTAATTTTCAACCTTCTCCTCATATCATTCCATTATCAATTATTTACATTATCTAATTTATTTACAAACTTGAACAAACTACAGGATCTTAAGTCAATGGTCCACATATCAAAACCTGTTGACAAATGGATTTTATTGAAATCTATATTTAATAACTGAATGTTGCTTTCACTAATCTTGTGTGAAAACAATGGGTCAATTAATTCTTTCCTGGACATAACATTGATTAAAACTTCACTTTCACATGTACATGTAATATAAAGCTACTGCATCCTCATGAGTCATGTAATAAATTATGGCTTAATAACAAAGAACATACCCCAAGTTCACTCTCTGTTTCCGTCTCTGTCTCAACCTCGATAACAGAGTTTTGTTCCTGAGCCAGAGCCTTCAGCCATGTCTCTTCCTCTTGTATGGCTGACTCCAGGGCCTGTTCTTGTTCTTCCTCTAGTTCACGTGTCAGTGTATCCTCCTCCTCAAACGCTGATGCTAATGCCTGTAACCAACCGACCACAGTATCCTACAGTTGATATAAGACTGATGATACTAATGCCTGTAACCAACCGACCACAGTATCCTACAGTTGATATAAGACTACTAATGATAACTAATACAGTTGATATAAGACTGATGATACTAACCAACTGATGACCAGAGTATGCTACAGTTGATATAAGACTGATGATACTAATGTTTGTAACTAACTGACCAGAGAATCCTACAGTTGATATAAGACTGATGATACTAATGTTTGTAACTAACTGACCACAGTATCCTACAGTTGATATAAGACTGATGATACTAATGTTTGTAAACGACCAACAGACCAGAGAATCCTACAGTTGATATAAGACTGATGATACTAATGTTTGTAACTAACTGACCAGAGAATCCTACAGTTGATATAAGACTGATGATACTAATGTTTGTAACTAACTGACCAGAGAATCCTACAGTTGATATAAGACTGATGATACTAATGTTTGTAACTAACTGACCAGAGAATCCTACAGTTGATATAAGACTGATGATACTAATGTTTGTAACTAACTAACTGACCAGAGAATCCTACAGTTGATATAAGACTGATGATACTAATGTTTGTAACTAACAGTTGATATAAGACTGATGATACTAATGTTTGTACCAGAGAATCCTACAGTTGATATAAGACTGATGATACTAATGTCTGTAACTAACTGACCAGAGAATCCTACAGTTGATATAAGACTGATGATACTAATGTTTGTAACTAACTGACCAGAGAATCCTACAGTTGATATAAGACTGATGATACTAATGTTTGTAACTAACTGACCAGAGAATCCTACAGTTGATATAAGACTGATGATACTAATGTTTGTAACTAACTGACCAGAGAATCCTACAGTTGATATAAGACTGATGATACTAATGTTTGTAACTAACTGACCAGAGAATCCTACAGTTGATATAAGACTGATGATACTAATGTTTGTAACTAAACTAACTGACCAGAGTATCCTACAGTTGATATAAGACTGATGATACTAAGAATCCTACAGTTGATATAAGACTGATGATACTAATGCCTGTAACCAACCGACCACAGTATCCTACAGTTGATATAAGACTGATGATACTAATGTTTGTAACTAACTGACCACAGTATCCTACAGTTGATATAAGACTGATGATACTAATGTTTGTAACTAACTGACCAGAGTATGCTACAGTTGATATAAGACTGATGATACTAATGTTTGTAACTAACTGACCAGAGAATCCTACAGTTGATATAAGACTAATGATACTAATGTTTGTAACTAACTAACCAGAGAATCCTACAGTTGATATAAGACTGATGATACTAATGTTTGTAACTAACTGACCAGAGAATCCTACAGTTGATATAAGACTGATGATACTAATGTTTGTAAACTGACCAGAGAATCCTACAGTTGATATAAGACTGATGATACTAAGACCAGAGAATCCTACAGTTGATATAAGACTGATGATACTAATGTTTGTAACTAACTGACCAGAGTATGCTACAGTTGATATAAGACTGATGATACTAATGTTTGTAACTAACTGACCAGAGTATGATACAGTTGATATAAGACTGATGATACTAATGTTTGTAACTAACTGACCAGAGAATCCTACAGTTGATATAAGACTACAGTTGATGATACTAATGTTTGTAACTAACTGACCAGAGAATCCTACAGTTGATATAAGACTGATGATACTAATGTTTGTAACTAACTGACCAGAGAATCCTACAGTTGATATAAGATGATACTAATGTTTGTAACTAACTGACCAGAGAATCCTACAGTTGATATAAGACTGATGATACTAATGTTTGTAACTAACTGACCAGAGTATGCTACAGTTGATATAAGACTGATGATACTAATGTTTGTAACTAACTGACCAGAGAATCCTACAGTTGATATAAGACTGATGATACTAATGTTTGTAACTAACTGACCAGAGTATGCTACAGTTGATATAAGACTGATGATACTAATGTTTGTAACTAACTGACCAGAGAATCCTACAGTTGATATAAGACTGATGATACTAATGTGACCAGAGAATCCTTGTATGATACTAATGTTTGTAACTAACTGACCAGAGACAGTTGATATAATGATACTAATGTTTGTAACTAATCTACAGTTGATATAAGACTGATGATACTAATGTTTGTAACTAACTGACCAGAGAATCCTACAGTTGATATAAGACTGATGATACTAATGTTTGTAACTAACTGACCAGAGAATCCTACAGTTGATATAAGACTGATGATACTAATGTTTGTAACTAACTGACCAGAGAATCCTACAGTTGATATAAGACTGATGATACTAATGTTTGTAACTAACTGACCAGAGAATCCTACAGTTGATATAAGACTGATGATACTAATGTTTGTAACTAACTGACCAGAGAATCCTACAGTTGATATAAGACTGATGATACTAATGTTTGTAACTAACTGACCAGAGAATCCTACAGTTAATTTAAAACTTGACAGCAGTATTTCAAACTGAGAGCAATTTTACCAATTAAACTGTATGCTTCCATCTAAGTTCTCAAGATATAACATTGATTTAGGATTGGATGGGATAGAAGGCCACAGGATGGACTTGTGTAACACTTTCTCTCTCTTTATACAGTAGCAACGGCAACCCAAGCAATTGAAATTTTTTGTCAAAACAGACATTAACAAAATATTTTTATAAAAACTTCCACAAAATGTGTTAAACTCACACTATCTAATTGGGCTGCATATGCATCATCTTCTTCGTCTTGTCTTCTGTCATTCTCTCGACGTTCAAACTCTCGTCTTTCTTCATCTTCATCTCTTTTAACATCCTGGGGTGATACTGGCTTTCCCTGGAGAGAAATGTCTAATGGCAATTCTGACCCCTGTTCACAATTACTAGGGGAAGTAGTTTTCAGATGATCATCCACTGGAGAATCTGCACATTGAACAACCAAAACAGAGTCTACCTCAATCTCCTTCTCTATTACCTTACTTAGAATCATACTAGTGTCCTCCTTAAGATCAAGGGACTGTGATTTCTGCTTTACTGTGTTAAAAGCTTGTCCTCTGGCTGATGTTGGAGATTTCCCTTTTGTTACTGAGCTACTATATGACATCTTTGATGCCACTGTTGGTTCAGAACTTCGACTTATACCAGATATATTTGGAGAAGATCTAGACACAGTAGGTGAAGATTTGTTCAGAGCTTGGCTCACTGCAACCCCACTAGTCCTTCCTGGCCTTGACACAGACAAGTCACTATGAGACGAGGCAATCTGCCGCCGACTCTCACTAGGACGATTTTCTTTTTCACTATCTTTACTATCAGTCCTCTGTCGAGGTGCATTTTTCTGATTTCCACTGGCAACAGTTTTTTTAGCTAAAGGGCTTTTTTCGATTTTAGTTTGCCCAGGTTTACCACTTTTACCAGCATGAGGGTCAGACAAGGTCCGTTTTAAATTCTTACGTCCAAGGTTCTGTCCAACCCCTGTCAGATTTTCCAGGGACCTCTGTGAAGGTGAATGTCGTGCTTTAGATTTACTTCCCCTTTGTACAGTCTCCCATCCTTCATTGTCATCTGTAACATAGAAATATATATCTATGCCAGATGTGCTCAATCAAGAAAATTTGACATAAATAAAATTCAGTAGGTATAACAATCTGCTCTACTCAATTAATGAAAGTATTGGGATCATTAGGTTTTTTTTTGTTGTTGTTTTGTTTGTTTTTTTGTTTTTTCATATTTCTGATATCCAGACTTGTAAAGTGAAAATGAGAGCCAATCAGTGACTAAAAACCATAACATTTAAACAAGTATCTTGTCATCATGACTAAGAATACACGTACTATTGATTTCTTAACACTCGTAATAACATGGAATGTACCATTCTTCAATTTCTTTCCACAAACTAAATAATCAAAAACGTTTCTACAATAGAGACCACTATGACATTTTTCAGATATTATCAATTATCAGAATAAAACTTCTATTCAAATTAAGACATCCACTCCAGCCAAATGATTTATCAAAATTTACTTTGTAACTCTTAATAATGTTGAACCTTTAATGTATCTGGGACACTCCACAGTTTAAAAGGTGGTGGTAACAGATGAAATAGCACAAGATGTGCCCTGCACAATGCTGGGCTCAGACTGACAGCCAAACTCAACAAGGTGTAATATCATACCCTCAATGGTAGTACTGCCGTCTGTTTCAGGCTCAGATGCAGAGATCCCATTCTGTGTGACTGGTGGTGGTGGAAGGGGAAGAGTGCTGGTAGGGGAGACAACTTCAGGCATATCAGCAGAACTCACAGCTGTCACTTTGCCCTTTACCTTGTCTGCCCAACTACTCTGTGTTGGACTACAGAAATAAAAGAGAAGAAAACGTTAACTCTGGTAATAACAAATCAAGTAAACTCTAAAAGGTGATGTTACATACATCCTGTCACAATACTTTTAATTTATGATTTAAAAATCCTATTCCATACTGATTTCACTCCTTGGATACTGGTACTCATCAAATGTCTACTTCAGAAGTATAACACTGCCGAATATTTTTAAACCACAAGTAGGCAATTTCAACAACCTTTGTCTGATATTGCTGAAGTTATCATAATTATTAATAAGCATAAATAAAGTAATTGAGTTTTCAATGTTTTTCAATACATGCAGTTCTATTTGGCAATAAGTACATGTATTTGTATAGCAGATAATTGACAACCAGTATTAGGAGGAACTCAGACCCCTGTAAACAGTCACAACAGAATAGCTGGCAACATCACAAAACAAATGTGTAATTAAGCCCTGTAATATTGAAAGCATCAGGCACATAATTATACATGATCAGCATTCCTGCCACTGTGACAGACATTCTACAAACAATATAATGATGTATATATACACACATATATATATAGAATATAGCGACATTGTACAACAGTTAATTAAGTTATCCTCCAATTTCTACAAAATCAATACATGTACTTATATTGCCTGATTAATACATAGGCTTTCTAATCCAGTGCGTCATTATGTTCCCCTGATATATATCAGATATATTAAAACACAGGTCAACAATGTATGAAAAACCATTGGATCAAAATTTTACATAGAACAATGGACCAGTTAAAACATAACAAACCAATCAAAACTTTACAAAAAATCACAGAACCAATCAAACTTCAGCACAAAATGGAGAACCAATCAAAACTTTAAATGACAGAAACCAGTCAAACTTAACATGAAACACAAAACCAATGAAAATTTTACACATCACAGATAACTAATCAAAACTTTACACAATACATTACACAAATCAAAATGGGAAGTAAATAAAACCTACAAGTATCTGATGACAGAAACCAATCAAATCTTTACAATAAACGGGAAGCAATCAAAACTAGAAAAAAAGTTTAAATGGTTCTCTGACAAGCGAGAATCAAGCAATAGTTAGTACAAACAGGCAAAATTCACTACAGCCTATTAGCAGAAACAATCATTACTCAGATCTCTGCTCCGTGAAGGTGAGCACTCTCTGGGCGGGACTCGGGGAGCTTGTACTCCTGCCATGACTCTGGGCACCAGCACTTTTACCTGGCGACATTTTTCTCACTTCCCATGCTATTGATGTTGGCCTGAAAACAGTGCAAATAAAATCAAAGTAAAGCAAATTAAAATAAAGAAACTGTAAGCAGGTTTCCCTTCCAACAGAAGCAAATTAAAATAAAAAATCATGATATCCCATCCCCACTTTAAAAAAAATGACGAGAGATAAATACCACATTCACAAAGAGTCCAATAGGTCTCAAATTAGGGGTAGTATTTATTATAGGACAATGATATACCCCTGTTCTTCTAAAATACCAGACATGGGCTTATTGCCAAACACAGTAAGTCATGGATGTAGACAATAAATAGAGGATGACAATGATTTTTTGATTCAGCAGCAAATGCATTACACATGCAGGCATAATGCAGCAGGCAGACACAATAACAACAAGCCTATCACATGCATGCACAGAATACTTTTAGCCTGGTAATATATTAACAAACTCCTAACATATGTGTTTTCATTGAGGTGAAAAACAATCCCCCAGTGTAGAGCAACCTTAAGAATCATTCATGTGTATCAAGTTTCACAAGTGGCAAATGTGATGCAATTATCTCAGATAAATTTTGTATGAAAATCTGTAGCATGAATAAACATATAACTCCCAGAAACAGTGACTGAAGATAAACTGCAAGTACACAAACTTAATCCCGTGAAGGAGTAAGACAAAGTGAATTCCATACAGACAAATTTTCATTTTATTCATCACAGATCTGTTGTACATGTTATGTTATACATATACATACCAATATTCAATTTTTTTACCCGATAAAATATTACTTGGACAAAGGATTTATATCTTAATGTTTTACAAGTCTATTAGAATCATCAAATCTTGGAAAGATACTTGCTATTTTATGTTTTCAAAATGTTTATTACTAACCCTATGCAGTAGTTTATGACCGTAAATCAAGATCAGACCACAAACTGTGTATAAGTTTACTGTATATGGATATAACAATTGAACTAAATAAATAATGGCAAATTCTAATAACCTCCTAAATGATGTATCTAAAGATATCTTTCTATATAAACTCCCCAAAATTCTTTTATCACTGAACGAAGACCTCTTCAAGGGAGATAACACTAATATGACTGTTTGTATCAATTCTTGACCAGTATATCAATCACTGACCTGTCTCCATCTTTAGCAGATTCCTCAAAGGCACGCAGCATGTGAAGTCTTTCTATAAGAGATTTAAAGTCGCGTGTACTTTGTTCCAGCATCATGATCACTTCCTGTAAACAAAATATCATAATGATCAGTTCCTGTACACAGAATATCATAATAATCACTTCCTGTACACAAAATATCATAATAATCACATCCTGTAAACAAAATATCATCACGATCACTTCCTGTAAACAAAATATCATCACGATCACTTCCTGTAAACAAAATATCATCACGATCACTTCCTGTAAACAAAATATCATCACGATCACTTCATGTACACAAAATATCATCACGATCACTTCCTGTAAACAAAATATCATAATGATCACTTCCTGTACACAAAATATCATAATAATCACTTCCTGTAAACAAAATATCATCACGATCACTTCCTGTAAACAAAATATCATCACGATCACTTCCTGTAAACAAAATATCATAATGATCACTTCCTGTACACAAAATATCATAATAATCACTTCCTGTAAACAAAATATCATCACGATCACTTCCTGTAAACAAAATATCATCACGATCACTTCCTGTAAACAAAATATCATAATGATCACTTCCTGTACACAAAATATCATAATAATCACTTCCTGTAAACAAAATATCATCACGATCACTTCCTGTAAACAAAATATCATAATGATCACTTCCTGTACACAAAATATCATAATAATCACTTCCTGTACACAAAATATCATCATGATCACTTCCTGTACACAAAATATCATCATGATCACTTCCTGTACACAAAATATCATCATGAATTTCTTATTTCTTATTGTTATCATCAATCTCTGATTTCTTATTGTGTTTCTTTTTTGAGATACGAAATAGGAATATTAGATATTGATTATTGTCAATGACAGCCCTCTTCTTCTTCTGATTATTGATCTTGTAAGTACATTAGGACCTAGTATATTATACCAAGTCCATGTATGATTTTCAAAAGACAGTAAATAACAAGTTGGTAGACAGGTACATATTGCTGATTATATATACAATGTTCCAGACAGCATGTTTGCTGCTTCCATTTCAAGCAAACATACATTGACTGCAGCTTGACAAAAGTATTTCACCTGTTTCTTACAGACACAAACTAGTCTACATCACTAGCATCTTGATTCCAGTTATATTAATTTCTTGTAGAAACTACTTACCATAACCTTGTATCATCAGTGACATTTTCATAAAAGAAAATCAATTTTAAAATTTTAATTTTGAAACATCAAGTAAACATCTATTTAATAGAATTATATTTTTTCTAACTTTCAACTTGAAATCAGACTACCTCTAACAATCTCCAACATACCTATTTACTATCCCTTCCTACCTCCTATTTATCCATACCTACCTCCCTACCTCCTATCTATCCCTACCTACCTCGTATCTATCCCTACCTTCCTCCTTACTATCACTACCTACCTCCTATCTATCCCTACCTACCTCCTAACTATCCCTACCTCCCTCCTAACTATCCCTACCTACCTCCTATCTATCCCTACCTACCTCCTAACTATCCCTACCTACCTCCTATATATCCCCTACCTACCTCCTAACTATCACTACCTACCTCCTAACTATATCTACCTACCTCCTATATATCCCTACCTACCTCTTAACTATCCCTACCTACCTCCTAAATATCCCCTACCTACCTCCTAACTACAACTTCCTACCTCCTAACTATCCCTACCTACCTCCTAAATATCCATACCTACCTCCTATCTATCCATACCTACCTCCACCTCCTATCTATCCCTACCTACCTCCTATCTATCCCTACCTCCCTCCTAACTATCCCCTTCCTACCTCCTATCTATCCCTACCTACCTCCTAACTATCCCTACCTACCTCCTATATATCCCCTACCTACCTCCTAACTATCACTACCTACCTCCTAACTATATCTACCTACCTCCTATATATTCCTACCTACCTCCTAACTATCCCTACCTACCTCCTATATATCCCCTACCTACCTCCTAACTACAACTACCTACCTCCTAACTATCCATACCTACCTCCTATCTATCCATACCTACCCTCCACCTCCTATCTATCCCTACCTCCCTCCTAACTATCCCCTACCTACCTCCTAACTATCCCTATCTACCTTCTAATTATCCCTACCTACCTCTTAACTATCCCTACCTACCCTATATATATCCCCTACCTACCTCCTAACTACCCCTACCTACCTCCTATCTATCCCTACCTACCTCCTAACTATCCCTACCTACCTCCTATATATCCCCTACCTACCTCCTAACTATCCCTACCTACCTCTTATCTATCCCTACCTACCTCCTAACTATCCCTATCTACCTTCTAATTATCCCTACCTACCTCTTAACTATCCCTACCTACCCTATATATATCCCCTACCTACCTCCTAACTATCCCTACCTACCTCCTATCTCTCAATACCTACCTCCTATCTATCCCTACCTACCTCCTATTTATCCCCTACCTACCTCCTATCTATCCCTACCTACCTCCTATTTATCCCCCACCTACCTCCTATATATCCCTACGTACCTCCTAACTATCCCTACCTACCTCCTATATATCCCCTACCTAATTCCTAACTATCCCTACCTACCTCCTATATATCCCCTACCTACCTCCTATCTTTCCCTACCTAGTTCTAACTATCCATACCTACCTCCTATCTATCCCTATCTACCTTCTAACTATCCCAATCTATCCTAACTATCCTCACCTACCCTTACCTAACCTCCACCTACCCCTAACTATCTCCCACCTTTAACCTCCACCTACCCCTAACTATCTCCCACCTTTAACCTCCACCTACCCCTAACTATCTCCCACCTTTAACCTCCACCTATCCCTAACTATCTCCCACCTTTAACCTCCACCTACCCCTAACTATCTCCCACCTTTAACCTCCACCTATCCCTAACTATCTCCCACCTTTAACCTCCACCTACCCCTAACTATCTTCCACCTTTAACCTCCACCTACCCCTAACTATCGCCCACCTTTAACCTCCACCTATCCCTAACTATCTCCCACCCTGTTCCTTATAATTCCCGCTCCCCCACTTCCAATAGTTTATCCTTACTATCCCTATGTAACTGCTAACTATCCTCAATCATCCTCCTAATTATCCCCATCCACTCCTTAACTATGACCTCCTACCTCATAACTATCCCTCATACCTACCCCTTAACTATCACACACCTGACCCTACATATCTCCCTCTTACCTGACACTAAAGAACCCCCAAAATGACATGATAGAGCCACAGACAGTGAACCAGGATGTGCCAACTAAATATGACAGATTCTAACAAAAAAGAATTATTTGTTGGAAAAGAGCTTGAACATTCAGAGAAAAAGCAGTAGCTCTATATTGCTATTTGTCACTCCTGAACAATTCTTTAAGGATTATCAACAATATCTATATAATTACATAACCAATAGTTAGGCAATCTCGTATCAAATCTCACCTTGCATTCTACAACACTCTCGTCCTGTTCACATGTTTCATATATTGCATCCACTGCTCGTTGTAGATTGTCAAACAGGAACTTCCAGTACCGAGCTCGCAGGTCAGGTTTACGTAACCCACTGTCAGACTTGGGTGACTTGAGTAATTCTTGCTGAGACTTCTGCTGAATAAGAGCATAATCATCTGAGGCCTTCCTCTTTGGAGGCGTGACATTTCGGTGTGGATTTTGGTCCTTCAGTGGATGTTTCCTTCCCCCCATTCTACCCATGGGTAAAACTTGTTGACCTGTGAAATAGAAAACTCTGCGTTAATTTAACAAACAACTTCTGTATGTAGCTGATTGTACACAATGTACCTGTAATGCACAACAGCTTGCATAAATGAAATTTACCAATTTGTAATAATACAAACATTTCAGATATTTTTATCGGTTTTGATCCCATTGTTATATAGCAGAGCCAAGATGTAACATGTGTCCATCCAAGTGATAATGATTTGAACACTTGAGAAACACAATCCAATTAAATCAATGCTGTATATATACATATATCCCATCAGTTACTCTCACTAAACCAAAAGTGATCGCTTGTTAATTGCACAACAATCAATGACTGACAATCATGGCAATATGGTATATCACTGTCTATCTGGCCATAATGCACTGATCACAACAACTTCATATTTAACGACATCTAATTCTGTGTTGTTGAATGATCTGATAAAATCAACCAAGTAGAACCTTCAATAAACCCTGGGTCCAATATTTCTGTCACAAATTAGGAGAATAGGATTTTTATATATAATCAGTAATTTTTGTAGGCTTTTAAGTTGAGTCCAGAACATCCATTCCAAACTTTGATGAGATCCCAATACTAAGAGATATAGTGGGATCTCAAAATTTGAGCAGGTTCTACAGGAAAAACATGAGCCCAGGACCTAAACATCAGAGTTCCAAAAAATGTGGCATAATAATAGGATACTGACTTAATATTTGTTGGTGATTCTACAAAACAGTAATAGATGGGAGTGAGATTTTAATTAGACATAGGCTTAATACTGCCTAAACATAATACTAAACTGGTGGTAAGTGTGCAGCACCAACTTATACTGATATACTGACGGTATGTAACTACACTGTACCGACATACTGACGGTATGTAACTACACTGTACCGACATACTGGCTGTATGTAACTAAACTGTACCGACATACTGGCGGTATGTAACTACACTGTACCGACATACTGACGGTATGTAACTACACTGTACCGACATACTGGCGGTATGTAACTACACTGTACCGACATACTGGCGGTATGTAACTACACTGTACCGACATACTGGCCGTATGTAACTACACTGTACCGACATACTGGCGGTATGTAACTACACTGTACCGACATACTGGCGGTATGTAACTACACTGTACCGACATACTGGCGGTATGTAACTACACTGTACCGACATACTGGCCGTATGTAACTACACTGTACCGACATACTGGCGGTATGTAACTACACTGTACCGACATACTGGCGGTATGTAACTACACTGTACCGACATACTGGCGGTATGTAACTACACTGTACCGACATACTGGCGGTATGTAACTACACTGTACCGACATACTGGCGGTATGTAACTACACTGTACCGACATACTGGCCGTATGTAACTACACTGTACCGACATACTGGCGGTATGTAACTACACTGTACCGACATACTGGCGGTATGTAACTACACTGTACCGACATACTGGCGGTATGTAACTACACTGTACCGACATACTGGCGGTATGTAACTACACTGTACCGACATACTGGCGGTATGTAACTACACTGTCCGACATACTGGCGGTATGTAACTACACTGTCCGACATAGTGGCGGTATGTAACTACACTGTACCGACATACTGACGGTATGTAACTACACTGTCCGACATACTGACGGTATGTAACTACACTGTACCGACATACTGACGGTATGTAACTACACTGTACCGACATACTGGCGGTATGTAACTACACTGTCCGACATACTGACGGTATGTAACTACACTGTACCGACATACTGACGGTATGTAACTACACTGTACCGACATAGTGGCGGTATGTAACTACACTGTACCGACATACTGGCGGTATGTAACTACACTGTACCGACATACTGGCGGTATGTAACTACACTGTACCGACATACTGGCGGTATGTAACTACACTGTACCGACATACTGGCGGTATGTAACTACACTGTACCGACATACTGGCGGTATGTAACTACACTGTACCGACATCCTGGCTGTATGTAACTACACCGTACCGTCATACTGGCGGTATGTAACTACACTGTACTGACATACTGGCGGTATGTAACTACACTGTACCGACATACTGGCGGTATGTACATACTGGCGGTATGTAACTACACTGTACCGACATACTGGCGGTATGTAACTACACTGTACCGACATACTGGCGGTATGTAACTACACTGTACCGACATAGTGGCGGTATGTAACTACACTGTACCGACATACTGGCCGTATGTAACTACACTGTACCGACATACTGGCCGTATGTAACTACACTGTACCGACATACTGGCGGTATGGATATACGGTATGTAACTACACTGTACCGACATACTGGCGGTATGTAACTACACTGTACCGACCGACATACTGGCGGTATGTAACTACACTGTCCTGATATACTGGCGGTATGTAACTAAACTGTACCGACATACTGGCGGTATGTAACTACACTGTACCGACATACTGGCGGTATGTAACTACACTGTACCGACATACTGGCGGTATGTAACTACCGACATACTGACGGTATGTAACTACACTGTACCGACATACTGACGGTATGTATGTAACTACACTGTACACTGTACCGACATACTGGCGGTATGTAACTACTGTACTGTAACTACACTGTACCGACATACTGGCGGTATGTAACTACACTGTCCTGATATACTGACAGTATGTAACTACACTGTACTGATATACTGACGGTATGTAACTACACTGTACCGACATACTGACGGTATGTAACTACACTGTACCGACATACTGACGGTATGTAACTACACTGTACTGATATACTGACGGTATGTAACTACACTGTACCGACATACTGGCCGTATGTAACTACACTGTACCGACATACTGGCGGTATGTAACTACACTGTACTGATATACTGACAGTATGTAACTACACTGTACCGACATACTGGCCGTATGTAACTACACTGTACCGACATACTGGCGGTATGTAACTACACTGTACTGATATACTGACGGTATGTAACTACACTGTACCGACATACTGGCCGTATGTAACTACACTGTACTGATATACTGACAGTATGTAACTACACTGTACTGATATACTGACAGTATGTAACTACACTGTACTGATATACTGACGGTATGTAACTACACTGTACTGATATACTGACGGTATGTAACTACACTGTACCGACATACTGGCGGTATGTAACTACACTGTACCGACATACTGGCGGTATGTAACTACACTGTACCGACATACTGACGGTATGTAACTACACTGTACCGACATACTGGCGGTATGTAACTACACTGTACCGACATACTGGCGGTATGTAACTACACTGTACCGACATACTGGCGGTATGTAACTACACTGTCCGACATACTGGCTGTATGTAACTAAACTGTACTGACATACTGGCGGTATGTAACTACACTGTACCGACATACTGGCGGTATGTAACTACACTGTACCGACATACTGACGGTATGTAACTACACTGTACCGACATACTGGCGGTATGTAACTACACTGTACTGATATACTGACGGTATGTAACTACACTGTACTGATATACTGACAGTATGTAACTACACTGTATAGCATTTTTTAAAAGCTTTGTGGGATAAATGCATAAGAATGGCTAATTCTTAACCTTGATATGACAAGTATAACAGTATTTACAGGCATAGCCAGATCTGACACACTTGCACATGTAGCATGTAGCATGATATGCACAATGTACCAGCCAATATCATCATAATAATCTATGTCTGTGAAGGAAACAACATCTACTGTTGTAAGGCTTTGTCTGCTAGACGCTAAATCCATCCTTATTTGGAGACAATATATCCATGGCCACAGTGAAACGTGAAATCAATAGACAAGATTCACACTTAAGTTGTATAAAGTCTCTTTTAATCTAAATCTTCCAATGTGCATTTGCTTGATACAAACTGCTAACAGTTAAAGTCTGGCACCCAGTAATAACTGTGTGGACACAATCCAAACTAAAACTGAAGCAAACAACAATATGAGATTTGAAATATTTTGAAAAAATGTCTTGTATAAAATGATACCTGTACCTTTTACCTGTTATAAAAGCTGTTTTCTGGTAAAATCACTCATATATATCCTTTTACTTACATCACATAAAAACTTAAATACTACAGACAATTGTCATTCAAAAGACATAATTCACTTTTGAAAACTTGGAATGTAGACATATTGGCTGTGAAAGACATCACTCTTTATATTTTTTTTTTCACTTTCAACACTGTAGATGTATAGACCCCAAAAGACACCTATTTTCCAGTTATACACTGGTGAAGCTGGTTACATAAATCCACAGTTTATCCTATGATACCATCTTCTGATGCATCCTGTCTTGTGATTCCAGCACAGTCTGTCTTATTGTGTAGAGAATTCACAAAGGCCTATTTAAAGAACACTTAACACTCCAATAACAGATTTAGAAAAGGCTTGGCAAGGAAAACTAATGGAAAAGAAAAACATTTGCAATCTCTGTTCTAAAACGAAAGCCAGTTGTGGTACTGAAACAGTGAAAGTCTGAACTAGAACTAAATCAAAGTCCTTACCCAGCATTGGATCTGATGGCGATTTCACCAGTATGCATATACAGGTACACTTAGTAACCATATACCTGATGTACTGTATCTTTGTATTAGTGTTTCTCACTTAAAGGCTGGCCAAAGGGTGCTAAAATATTAATAGTAGGTAAGTATACGACCCTGGGATTAAAGGTGTAGTTGTGACCTCATTAAGAAAGCACACTTGGGATTGTGAAATTGATTAAGGGAATATCGGATATTGATTAGACCAGGTAGGTTAATTATATACCTGAGTAAAGGAGAACAGTAAACAAGGCCTCAACAAAGGAATAGTTTTTACATTGCTTTTTCTTACACATGTTGTTTTGTTAAATTTTATCATTAAATACCGTAAAGCTAGTTACTTAC